CAGCAGAAGCGTTTATTGGTCAGTTTTATGAGAAGACCATTTTCCCAGCAGTGAAATGCTTCTTTAATCATATCTAACAAGAAATGGTGCCAGGTTTTGACAAGGAATATGAATGAACCGAATAAAAAAGACTATGTCTCTGGTTCCATCATGTCCATCCCAAGTCTGACAGTAATGCTAAATTGATGCAGTACTCTTTTAATGTAAGGCATTAGAGAACAGACTTTGATAGTGAAGTGTTAGCTATCCAAGAGGGAAAAACAATAAACTGTAATTATGTATTTTCATTCATTTACTTGCTTGTTTGTTACACAGAAGAGTAATGGATGGCATATAAATGGCCATAACGTTGTCACGAGAATAAAGAAGTGTCATACACTTGGCTTAGGTCACAACTTGCTGCTATGCCTTTTGTAAAATAAATGTGATTACATTTTGGCCAGATTTGTGTCCAGCTAGTTTTTGGCAGTGAGCAGAATATGCTTTTGATTTTTATATTATTATTTTTTTTTATACCTCATTTAAGGTTAAGACCTGCCGGTGCCAAAGCTGATAGCATTGCCAGATCAGTCTGAGCCCAAAGCAAGCCTCAATCTACCGTGTCCGATTGAGGATGTTAGAGCTACTTGAGCTGCACACCAGGCCATTATTACTCTACGGCGGTGATGGGCGGCGGGGGTAGGGTGGGGAGGGGGCGCCTGGTTCTTTAACCACTGATCCTCGATCAAGCTGAAGACCACAGGGGATTAGAAATAGGATTAAGTGACCCTCAACCCTTCACAAGCTTACTGTCATCCATCCATCTAAAGTGTATATTGCATTCATCTCTAACTACTGGGTCATATTTTTTTAAGCACGCTTTAAATTGAGATTGCTCATTCGCCTGCCTTTAATGCATTTGCACTGTGCCATTTGTATTGAGAGTACGTTTCTTCTGTGCCGCAAAATACAAATGTTACAAATAAAATATGAAATATATGAGCATAAATAAATATTTGAGTAGTGCAATGTATATTTTATAGATACCAGCGAAAGGCAGTTTGTTTTGATTGAAAAAGCAGCAGCCGTAGAATCAGTATAACACATCTGGGAGTGGCACATATAGTATACGATCTAACCGAGCCAATCTATAATGCACCAGACATGAGATAAGTGCTCCACTGTACAGTGTGTGTGTGTGTCACTGGGGCTTCAGCCAGATATCCCATACTGTGGCAGAGTGAGGGTCAAAGCGCGGAGATGCCAGAGGCAAGGTCAGCAACCACCCAGCAAAAAGAGGAACATCATCATTTCCCAAAGAAGAGAGAGAGTTAGTGAGAGACTGCGGAGAAATGAAAGAGATTCAAGGTAGATAAAAATGACAGGACGAAGACTTTCATGTCAACGTGCTGTTTTACTCCGAATTTGGTCAGAAAATGTGTACTCTTCTTCTCTAGCTTCCTTTGCCTCTTCTAACCTCCTGATTTCGAACCCTGTAGAACTTTTACAAGAGCTAAACACAACAGTATCTATTCTAGCCGGCGAGGCAAATGAACGAGAGTAGGTTGAGGAGACAGGCACATGGGGGAAGACAGGGAGGGATGGTGAGTGCATCGATTTGGGTGGGCAGATGGTGCCGACATATGGGCCTGTTAGGGGCAAAATAAATAAATAAACACTCACACATAAATACTGAGATGAACTGTGAGTGCCACAAACTGTTGGCCAACTTAGCCAGCTGAGAGAGAGCGCAAATGGGAGAGAGCTACCGCTGAAATCGCTCGCAGATTTCTAAATGGACCACTGCTGCATGAAAAACATGCACACAGACAATTGTGTGGGATGACAGTGGGCCTTAGAAATTTGAGCCTCTGATCTCCAAGTAAGTATACACTACCCATGTGTGCATTACAACAAATAAGGCGGGATGTTACACATGAAGCATACAATCATTTTTTTAAATGTGGGTGCATCTGTGTGAGCTAAATATGGCTTCCATATGCAGGTCGTAGACTAAAAGTTTTTTTTTCCCTGTCTCCAAGCTTAACTTCTTTTCCTCTGCTGTCTGGCTCCGCTGTGTTTGCCCTTCCTCCGCATTGCTATCTATACATTCTCCACCTCTTGTCTGCCTCCCGCTCAACCTCAAAGCCTGTGGCTCCGTTAGAGAGACAGCCAGGTTGAGAGAGGTGATATCCTCCAGCAAACAAACGGTTGCTTTGTACAACATGTTCTCTGCCCATATCAACTGCACGCTCCTGCCCAGCTCCAGTCAAGATCTACTGGCCAGCAAATGGAGGAGGACTGCAACACCAAACAATGTACAGTCAGTGTATATTTATATATTTGTTTGCTCACTGTGCAGGTGTCCTTGTATGTGTGTCCTTGATGCACAAAATGTATAGATGATGAATTCCATATGTCACTATCAGATTCTATTTGAAGCGCACCAGTTGGCGGGGCTTCACAGCTTCACACTCTCTCCTAACAGCATCTGCACCCAAACAGCATGCTGTGATTGACCTCAGGCTGTTTACACTGAAGCGGTCAAGTCTGTGCATCACCTCAAAATGTAAACAACCCATGGAGATCGTGAATATCGCTGTCAGTTTAGGACAGCGGGAGTAGCTGAGACGGGCGCTAAAAATAGACAAATCTTTCCATGCTCGGGCTGGTGAAGACAGCTTCGCTTATAAAAACTGGAACATTCTTGTTTTGTTGCTGTTTTTTTGTTGCCTGCATTTTCAGTGCATGTCACATTAACCAGGTCCTGGTCAGCCTTTGTGTGTGTGTTTGTGAAAGCTTCTAAGCATCTGTGTGTGCTCCCTACTGTGCATGTCTGCAAACATATTACCCAATCCCTGGCAAACTCATTTGGATGTTTTCCACATTCCTCGCAGTTTGAGCATGTTTGGTTGACAGACATCGCCGCCACCTTGCCACTTTATATTCTGCCGGGCTCTCTGCCGTTCTAACGTCTGCAAATTTAATTTGATTGCAGCTGTAATCTGCCGGCTAGTTAATTGACTTTGCCGAGCTTTGTTCCTCTCCTACCTTGATGGAGAGGGGTAGTTTGATAAGTTACAAAACGTCTTATCCCCTCCGTGTGAACCTACGGTCCCATTGTATGCTTTGGTCACCAGAGAGTACTCCGCTAGGACTGGGTAAACTATAATGTGATCTCAAGGGGGACGCTGAGCTGAATGGGATTTCTCTGCCATCCATTGTGTTGTCACAGTAGACAGGGAGGCCTAACTGTGCAGACAAATTCAAGTCTTATGAAGCCATTTGGTGGGTTGAAGATTCATCTGTCAAATCAGGCTTTTAAAAAAGATATTCATATACAACTAATCGGCCTTTTTAATCGATATAACAATGAAACACCTGACAAATAAATCTTCATTCAAGGGACACTTACTCACTTATTTTGGAGCTGTTTACTGAATCACATGGTCTTCATCAGAAGAGATTTATAACTGTAAATATAACTGATTAGTCTTAGCACTCTTAGGAAGTCTCCATGACAACTGAGCAAACGTCATTTGCCAGTAAAGACCATGTGACCAATATGGAGGAACTCAAATATCACCAATTATGACGAAATACCTCAACATCGATATTGAGACAATATTGTAGTGCTGACTATAGGTGCTTTCACAAAATATTTACACAATAAGATTGTTGATTAATTATAATTTCAATGTGGCTATAATTACTAGAACAGTCTGGTACATTCAGAAAATTAAACCACTTTCCTGTAATGTAGTCTTTACAACTAGGAAAAGACCAAACTTAAGATATTACAGTATCCAAAATCAAACACCCTAGCTTGTCTCATATCACAATATCAGTGTAAGATAGATATATTACACAGCCCTACCATGAGATATGCTCAAAAGCTCCAGAAGAATTGAGTAAGCAGATCTTGAGTGAAGAACTTTCAATGCAAAGTGTGCACTGTACCACGTACTTTTGTCGTAAAAACCTAGGGGAGTAAACCTCAAACAAAAAAACCTAAATTGGAATTTTATTTTGAAATGTTGCTCTATGCATTTCATGAGTGGATACTGTACATTTCCTGTCAACATAGAAGTTTATTTTGAAAAGACAGAGTGCATATAACAGGCCAAAATTAAAATGTTGTCCCTGAAAGTCCAAAAGTGACCCTAAAGGGTTATCTAGAGTGTCATAATTTGACGTGTTGGGCCACTGACTGAGCGTTACTATTTGATGAGATGGAAATGAGAATATTTTGGTGCTGCATATGTTGGATTTAGCCAAAGTGGCATCCTCAAAAAAGAACTTACCATCCATTTACTCTGAAATGAGCCGACTGAAATTGCATCTGTTCAGTCATACTGTCATGGGTGAGATATGGGCCGTTGTGACCTCAGTGAAAGTGCAATGAGACCATGACCTGGCACCAAACCCCGGCTTGATGGTTTTGAACAAGTTTGACTTTGTTATTGACAAAAAGAGTAATCACTATGTGGGTTAATGGTTAGCATGATCAATTGTGCTGGTTTACATTATGTAGTTCACTAGATGATCCACATACATCAATGTCAAAGAGTCAGTGGCCCACATAGACCAGTGAAAAAAACCTGTTCGGTCAAAACTAAAGAATCAGGTCACTGGTGGCATAAAACTGGAATGTTCAAGCTAAGCTAAATGTGGATTTAGTAACTATGAATGAAGCCTCTAACATGGTGTGAGTACATGTAAAAACAAAAATAAAACAGAGGACCGCAACAAAGGAAAACTTGGTCCAATGAGGCGATCTGAGTGATGTTAGTTGTTAAGTCTTTGCAACACAGAGAGAATGGCGTTTGTTCTCATTGACTAATTTAATTAACACTAACACAGGGAACTTCATTAGACTGTTTTCAGCTCATTAATGAAATTAATCTGACTGGGCATGAGCACACACAAGATAAACATCAACACACACACTGACAGACGCATGCTTTTACTGCACTGTTCGCTCTCACATGCACACATCAGAATCATTTAGAGTAACTTACGGGTTGCCATAGTCCCAGACAACGCACTGTGGATCTGATGTACCCTGCAAAATACAGGGGGGGGGGGGGGGGGGGGGGGGGGGGGGGGGGGGGGGGGGGGGGGGGGGGATGCGTCTAAGGAAGAAAGAAGATAAGCTGTTATTGCCAGTCGAGAGGATGAGTGAGAGAGCGAGGCAGAGCGAAGACAGAATAGCTCGTTGCCAGAGGAGAAAGAGTGATGCTGCATGGGCGATGGAGAGAGGTAAACAGACAATGAAAGAGAAGGATTGAGACAGACGGTGGGAGGGAGAGATGGAGAAAGAGTCATTGTCAGGGGACAGAGCAGCAAATAGCTGCTGCTGCAAAAAGAGAGAAGGTGTGTGAGCAATGAATTGAGAGTTAAGAGACAAAAAAAAGCCATTTCATGGACAATAATACACAGCAAGTTGGGGTCATAAACATCCGCTGGTGGAAAAGCATTCTTTAATTAAGCACAACCACAGTGAGAAGTAGTAAAGTAAAAGTAAACAACTATGAAGCACTGAAATGTGCTTAAGTATAACAAGCACTTATTGTGAAGAACTGGCCTTTTCAGAGTGCGTAAAGGCACACCGAAGCATCTCTAAACATCCTTATACGTATTCTGGGACGCGACTGAACGCATTTAAAAACCACAAAAAAGTCACAGAGCCCCTCACAGCTGTCTAAACGCTGGTGATTTGCTATCCAGCTCTTAATCCATCGACTCGTTGGAGCTAAAAGCCAATCGCTGGGGGTCGAAAGGCAGGTGAATCATCTGGTAATCAAAGCTCAGTCACGCATGGTGGAGAAAGGAAGACTCCCTATGACTCAATCAGGGAATCAATCGCAGGATCGATATCTTTAACTGACTCATCACAACCTGTTCCACTGGTGATCCTCCGCGATCTCTGCATTGATTGCTTTTTAAAGAATTCCCCATGCCCTTTCAACCTGTACGCCTCATTTGGGGGAGGATTGGATTGTGATTGGTTTTAGGTGAACTTTGTGAGGCTGTCTGGTCTGAATCCAGCATTTTGTTCTTACATCCATTTCTGAAATCAAATGCATTAAAAGTCTCACACTGCTACAAGTACAGTGTGAGAGAAACAGCTGACCGTTACAGTTTCTCAGCCCTTTAGTGTAGGACTGATCAGGCCTCTTGTGTAACTACATCAGGTACCCACAATTGAAATGCCATTCTCCCACTGATGCAGAGGAAAATGGATCCCTCTCTGTACCAGTCTGCTGGTCCTCCCTCAGTCCTGCATGAAGCCCTTTGCCTTTGAGCTCCCCCTTATGGTAAAGGGGATTATAGCAGTCTACAGTCACACTGTTCTGTCCAGTATTTAAAAAGCTGCTGTCCACTTTAAGGAGACTGAATACAGCCTGAGAATAAAGAAGGAATAAAAAAAGAAATAACCTCTGCTTGAGTGTGAAGCAAGCTGAAGGTTTTCTGAATCACAGCAGTGTTTTAAATAAGCAAAAAAAAAGAGAGAGGAAGAGTTGATGCACATTCAAGTCTGCACTATGAAGATTTATTTCTCTAAAAAGCAAGGTCACCCCTCCCTCTCCAAACAGTTCATAACAGCTCTGGCATGAATCAGTGAATCCCGGGGTCTCTGCATGGCTGGACTTGAGAGGATGGGATGATGCAAGGTTTATATACACAGAATCACAGGCTAGAAGACACAGATTGATGGATGATGGCGCTTTGTTCTGCCTCACACGCAGACCGCCGCCGTCACCGACATTAGATGTCCCTGGGCGTGCATTTGCGCGGCGGGCTCTGTTAGCATTCAACTATCAATCAGCGTGCATCATGCCCGACTGTACGCTGCAGCGGGAGTGACATCCGTGTACTCCCACAATATCTGCCTCCTCTTTAGTGCCAACGCTTTGCATAATGACAGCGCCCGCTCGACTGATGTCTCTCAAAGGCAGCGACGGGTGTGTGATTCCAACAGCTGCATTTATGGACAGAACTAATGGTGTCTGCTTTAATGACTGTTCTTTTCTCTCCAAAAAAGAACAGCCATTTTCTTTAAGGTATTCACCCTCACATGTGGAGGCCATTTGGCGGTAAAATGCTTTATGCATATTGGCTTTGAATATGGTCAGCTAATCAGATGAGATGAGCTACTGTAAGTGGCCACATGGGGAGGCTTAAAAGCTTTCTATATCATATCAAAGATAAAAGATTTGGAAAATGACATGGAGCAACGTGGATGATGCTTTTTGACTGATGAAAGTAAAGTAGATTACAGTGAAATTAATAGAAAGGTGTTACGGTGGTTAATGTTCGGAGAGCTAACCAGAGCTGCCTAGCTGAAGGATAGCTGTAGGAGAGGGTGTGGGTCTGATGGTGTAGTGTAAGGACACACAGTGCTCTCTGCTTCTTACTCACCATTAAAGACACACACACACACACACACACACACACACACACACACACACACCTTGACAACAGGGAAATGTGTGAAGAGTCTGACTGGAGCAGATGTCCTCTCAGTGAAGACATGACCGTACACAGAGACCCCTACACCCCCCTTTGAGAGCGAAGCCTGAGGCAGCTGCTGCCACTGCTTCAGTAGCTGGCTGTTTCTACACCGGCCAAGGTCGACATCAACTGCAGTTGAAGACCACGAGAGGAGACTTTGCTCTCTCTTTCACTTCCATGCCTTCTCCGGTGCCCAAATAGTGGCTCAGCATTTTCTGCCTAATGAAGCTCAGGCCAGGCTGAGCAACGATGAACAGACAGTAGGTTAACACTGCCTTTGAGGTAAGATAATGATGTGGGCATGTACATCAGTAAGTAGTTTGACTACATTTAATGAAGTAGTTTAACTTTCTTCTTGCATTATAGTTTGCTGATATCTAAATGTGTTTTATAGGGATTTTTATACTTTTTTTTAAATTTTATTTCCCTCCTAGAGTTAAAAGAGAAGTCTGATACCTCTCACATCCATTGAAAAAAACTGAAGGTGGCACCCAGTTAGCTTATCTTAGCAATAAGAATGAAAACAGGAGTAGCTAGCTGGCAGCTTTCTAAATTGCTCTGTCCAAAGATTACCTCTTGCGGTGATGGTAAGCTGATTTCATTACGTTCGGACAGAGCCAGCAGCCTGCCAGCAAGCTAGCTGTTTCACCGGTATCCAGTCCTATGCTAAGCTACGCTAACTAGCTGCAAATTTGCATTTCCTAGGATGGCAAAGACCCGTCCTACTCTGCCTTACCTGCATGTGATTGGCTTACCCTGACATTTGTATCCTAACCCTATCCAATCTCACTCCTTATGCCTAAACCTAACCACTCCAACCAATAAAGGCAATGAGTTCTAGCCAATCAGAGGGAGAGTAGGGTGGGTCAAGCCTTCACTATCCCAGGCAATGCACCTTAGCTTCGTATTTAAGAGGCATGAGAGCTGTATCTTCTCATTTAACTCTCGGCAAGAAATCTAATGAGTGTATTTGCCAAAATGTCAAAAATAAATAAAATATAAACTCTTTTAATCACACTAATCCTTCAGTAAAATTCTACAAATATAAACTACTTTGGTTATAAAAAACATTATTTTTTTAATTTTGCTTTTAGGAGTTGCTAAAACCCTAATTAATCTCAAGTAGCAATTACGGATATGAGCAGTGGTTGCATTTCAAATGAAACCAAACGAATATTATGCTAATCACTTGTATCCTCTGCAATGCCATTTCATTTTTTGTTATATGGCAGAGATATATTAATTTTCAAATGTGGTATTAATTAATTTTCTACATCACTTTAGTCACTTATTTCTCTTGAGGGTGGTTGTGCTGAAGTTGAACTTCTTCCCTGGACTTGAGACATAATTTTTTTTCACAGAAAGCCTACGTTGTAAAATGGGAACATGGGGTTTAAACAGACCTGGGTATTTATCAGACAGGAGAACTCTAATGAAAGAAACTATTCAGGAACTTTATGGGAAATACAGGAATGAGCATTTATGGTGCTTGACCTATACAAAGGGAAATTTTTTTCTCTTGTGAATCTCCTAGATTTAGCAAATGTAGCAAGAGTTCCCCTATGAAGCAGAATGAGAATGTCCTCACAAATACCGGTCTAAGGAATGCATACGTGCATCCCAGCCCTGTACTGCCCTGTGTGCAGAAGAGGTGTCTGTCCTCAGTGGGAGCCTCCGGTTCGTAATCCAGAGCAGCATGCTTACTTCAGCATTAAGACATCACCCTCTCTAGACAGAGGGTGTGCAACCTGGAGTACCTCTGCTTTGCCAAAAGTGTTAAAAGGCAGAATAATAGGAAGATAAAAGATGAAGGCATATAAAAAGAAATGCCATAATTAAGTAATGAATCAGTGGTTTAAAGCAGGGAGATGGAGTGGCGGGGGATGGAGAATGAGTACAAAGTCTTTATAATGAAACACTCTGCAATAATTCTGACCCTCAGGTCCTGGTTGACACAGCAAGAAACCGATTTCACTGGAAGATTTTAGTATGTGTGTATATTCTGTATATATATATATCTGTGTGTTTGTGTTGTCAAGAGATGAACCATTAAAAATTCAACATTATTCTCAAAACTGAGCCTTTGCACAGAAGAATGGCTAATGAAACCTGCATCTTATTGAGGTCGTGAAGAGCGCCTCTCATTAAACTTGCACTTAGCCCTTTCCAATGAAGACACCCCACAAGTCGTTTATAATAACACACTCCACTGTAATATAAACTGAATAGGCGCCAGGAGACGGCGCGATATAAGGAAGTGAAAAAGGTCTGCATTTATTCAGGCAATTCAACGAGCGCCATGGCGCTTTATAGCATGCAGCACTTCCTCTTTCATCAGAACTCAGGAAACATGGGTCAGTGGGGAGAGAAGGGATCCTTTAAAGCCGTGAAAAGATTTATTTCCTTGGCTAAAGCTTGCTCAATATACAAGTATAAAATAACAAAGAAAAAAGCAAACCATTGCATGTAACACTTTGATGTAGGAATATAAGTTACAGAGTCACCTGAACACAACTCTGGGATGGCTGGAAAAGTTACACTGTCTTGAAATGATCTAGATCTTAAGGACTTATGGTGGCTAATGCTTTTTATTGCATGAAAACACATCTTATGGCTACAGGAAAGGAGAGGTTTAAAGGTATACTATGCTCGATTGTTGGCTACTGTTTGTAAACAGTTTGTTTGCCGGTGAAAGTAAAAGTAAAAGTAAAATCTTTTTGGTGCTGTGTCTCTTGGATGCCTTCTGCTTATTGTCTGGCCTCTGATCGTTAATTTTTTATAAGGCCCGTCCTCACCTGAGTTAGGGCTGGGCGGTATATCAATTCTTACAATTTATCGATACATTTTCAAGCAAGATATAAATTTAGACACCGTTTAAATCGATATAGGGTCAAGTTGCGTCACATAACGTTGTGTTCATCTCTCCCCTCTCACACTCTCCGCCCCTTCACTCACTCACAGTTTCTCCATCAACACTCGCACAGAGCTACTCCTCTGTTTAATCTGTCTGTTCATTAGTCTATAACTTTTAGCTACGTCCAGTCAAGCCATGCTGCGCCGATTTGTGTTTCTGTTATCAGTTTAGAGACGCAGTGCTACGCCGAGCTGCGCACCTATTCCTTCTCCAGAGTAGGTCCAAAAGCCGGGCTGCCCGCACTCAGGTAGCCGTGGCGTCTCGCCGACCGCAGCCAATACCTGACCACCTTGTTTCTCCCCCTCAAACAAGCCACGTGTGTTGTGAGACTCTCCTCACCTCTGTCTGCAGGAGACCAGAGAGACAGACGTTTATAAAAGTCTCTCTATGTGTTCAGCTCTCAGTACTTTTGTAGTTTCTAACCGAATCTCTGTGGTTTGGAGTTTAGTTTCTCTCCTGCATCCTGTTTTCACTTTAGATATCTGCTTTATTTTACTGTTTCATGTTCACTATCAGCCGTATTAGAAGTTGTGTGAAGTTGCTGCTTGAAAATACATTTCCTTATTTTGCTGCTTCACAATAAAAGTATTTATATAACAAAATAATGTGGAACTTTTATATTTAAGTCTCGATAGGAATTAAAATGTGTTTATAACCAAATTAGTGAAACTTTATGAGCAGCTTTTCTTCAATTATGAGGAAGAGTAAAATCAGAAACAGCCACAGTGAGATGTTGATGAAGAGCTGCAGACTACAGGCTCTTACTGCACCTCTGCAAACAGCTCACCTCCAACAGGTAAACTTCTTTTACCTGCCCTGCTGCGGAAAAACACATGCAGCTCAAACAACAGGGGACTTCAGCCATGGATCAGCTCGCAACGGAACATGTAGCCCACTTAGTAGAAGATACCGGGATATATATCGTGTATCGCCATTCTGCCTGAAAATACCGAGACATGAATTTTTGTCCATATCCCCAGCCCTAACCTGAGTGCTGTGGGGGTACACAGCCATAGACGTCCCAAACACAGATAATGAGAAGAAAATAAGAAGATACAGGCAGAAGGCAGAGAATTACCCCGCCACACTCTACGAGTGGGTCATAACTGATGACTGAGAGGAATTCTGAGTCTATGCATTGTTTTTTAAGAAAATTCTGCACACTATATCTTTAATAAAGAAAAAAAACTTACATTAAAAAGTGGCGACAGCTCCACCACCACCATGGGCTTGCTGGGTTGTGGTTCTGGCCGTACTGTCACTGTCAGGATCTTGGAGTTGATGACTGCAGGGGGACTGCAAAGACACGCACAGTCAAACACAGAAGAGTGTTATTTTTGGGGAGAATTGTACTGCACATTCAAGACTGGCTTGAACTGTCTCTCTTCAAATACAACTACAAAAGTGGAATATGCTGATAAGTTGCTTTCTTTTGCTGTCTGTCATACACGCTAACAAATGCATACGTTCAACACACTCAGAAACAGACATATGCACCCAGTGTGCCATGCTTTTGACGGGTTTCAAGTATGTTTGCAAATATTAATACATGAATAAAGTAAAGAAAAACCTAATGAGAAAGGGATAAAGCCGGCACCCAAGTGAAAACGGAACACTGGACCTATTAGCATTCAGCAGAGCTACAGGGAGAAAAGGGTTTTAACAGATCCAGCTCATCCACAACCAAGAGCACTGACCTGAATAAAAGGGCCCAGGGCCAGCACAAACACCATATCACAGTGGCCTTTTGACAACCTCCTGATCCCTCCTCACTTCTATTTCTCCAAGTTTTATACAAGTTTCAGGACCCATTAGGCCCGCACCCATTTGAAGCCCAGTGTATATTTCCAAAAATACATTGACAATGCAAAAAAAAAAACATCTAGGGAAATGTACTTTTTTCGGAGATCCAAGACATCTGTCTGATAACTAGGCAGACACAAGGCGTGGAGTAGAGAAGCAATAGGCATTATGAGAGAGAAAACAGATGTAGAGTTTGAGGTTGGAAATAGATAGAGAGAAGGAGCGACAGAAGAAAGGGTGCAGAAATAGAAAGGTAGTGAGAACAGAAACAAAACAAAACAAAAAAAATAGATACAATGGAGATGAAAAGTTGTCAGAGAAAGTACTGACAAAAAGAGACACAGGAAGGTAAAAGTGAGGACAGGGGATGGAGAGGAAGAAGCTTGAAATGCTTAAAAAATAAGACAGTGGATCACATGAGAAGTACTCACTTTGGTGCAGGTAAGATGACGCCCAACGTCCTGTACAAGATGGCTCCGATGACATAGTACATAGTTGATTCTGACTCCACCTCCATCTCTGAAACACAGGAAATTTTGCGACCAATCAGCCCAAATCGATGCCATTGTTTGCCTAAAACACCTTCCAAATCACATGTAAATCCATCTGTGTACCTTTTGTTATCCTGTGTATGGGCACTGGTTGCTGAAAATGTTTTTTTGGACAAGCACAGCTGAACACCAAGTAGCAATCCTCGGTGCTGAAAAAATTAAGTCAACCTGATTGTGCCAAAAACTGCAGTTCCTCAAATGGCCACTTGAGGCTCTAAAAGCAATCAATCCCCACAGACCTCCATGTTAAAATGCTCAACTTTACAGTAGAAATGAACATGCTTACAACCTGGAACAAAAAACACTTTTGGTCTCTTTAGCTAATTTCAGCATTCATGACAAATGTATGCACCTGTCTGTCATGGTGAAGAGGGAGCTGAGCGGAAGGCGAAGCTTTCGATTTACTGGTCCATCTACGTCCCAACCCTCACCTATGGTCATGAGCTCTGGGTAGCGACCGAAAGAATGAGATCGCGGATACAAGCAGCCGAAATGAGTTTCCTCCGTGAGGTGGCTGGGCTCAGCCTTAGAGAGAGGGTGAGGAGTTTGGACATCTGGAGGGAGCTCAGAGTAGAGCCGCTGTTCCTTCGCGCTGAAAGGGGTGAGTTGAGGTGGTTCGGGCATCCGACTAGGTTGCCTCCTGGGCGGGAGGTGTCCCGTGCACGTCTCACTGGTAGGAGGCTCCGGGGCAGACCCACAACACGCTGGAAGGATTACATATGTCATCTGGCTTGGGAACGCCTTTGGGTCCCCCAGGAGGAGCTGGAAAGTGTTGCTGGGGAGAGGGACGTCTGGGGTGCTTTGCTTGGCCTGCTGCCACCACAACCCGCCCTCGGATAAGCTGATGAAAATGGATGGATGGATGGATGACAAATGTACCGGGGATTCATTTTTATATAACTCACCTGTTTACATTTTAATAAGGCTTAAATTTGTGCATATTTAAAGGCATTGCTGCTCTGACAGGTTGTCTATGAGGTGTCATCTCAGCTAACTGGTCCAATCCACCCCTCCCTCCTACACAGCTCCACCCTCTTGTCCAACCAAGTGACCTTGTGTCTCTTCTGGTTAAAAAAAATCCAAGATGGTGATGGCACAGAGGCCAAACTCGAGGCTTCAAAATGGGAGTCTGCAAGCCAGTGGGTGACACTGTGGTGGCTACATCCACTGCTTTATACAGTCACTGCTAAAGATGTATGGAAACTAATTCTTACTTGCCTTTTTACAAAAAAAAAAAAAAGGTAGGTAAAGGCCTTTTGCAGTACATTAATATTCAAAATATCAACATAAATATAGCAAATGTTGTTTTTTGATTGGAAAGACTTCTCATTGGGTTATGACCACATGACACATGCTAATCTGATGTTTGAATTTATAGGCTGAAGTGTTAGTATTTGTGATTGATTGAGATAACCTGTCCTGCTCTGGGAAATTTGTCATAAATAAACTAAATGCAAACACATCTCTTTGTCGGTGAAGCAAACAAGCACAGTTCTCACCTGCCTCTTCAACCTGTGATCTCATCTTAATTTTCATTTACTCTTGAGCTGTCGCTGACAAATGCTCTGTTGACTACATCAGAGCAAGAAAAGTTAGCTAATTGCAGAGCATGATGTGACAGCTATATTCCATATTCACACTTATTATGCTTCCAAGGCGAAAACACATCCATATTTTAGGTGCAAGATCCTGGTTACACACTGTTTGGGTGGAGATGCTATTTGTGTCAATTTCTGGACCTTTTAGCAACCAGTAGCTCCTCTGTTGCTCAACGAAGCCTCATTTCTGAAAGTTCATTGCTCTATCGTGCAATTAACCTGATTACAATTATTTCAATAAGTGCCCACACTCTTCCTTTTCAATGGACACTCTTTCCCCCTTGTTTCAAATCCCTTTTCGTCTCTTCCTCTTCCTCAGAACTTGTTGCCATTCTCCAACCCACTTTTCAACTTCCCCCAACAGTCCTTCTTTACAGCCCCTTGCCTTCCACCACTCCCTTCAGTGTTCTTTCACCAAAAAGAGCAGGGGCTCCCAAAGAGACATACTGTCCCTCTGTAAATGTCACTTTGTCTCAAGTGAGGGAGGCGAAGGGAAGCGGGGAGGAAAAGTAAGAGGGGAAGAGTTCATGTTGAGAGACGCCACTCCCTCCTTTGCCCTTTCAGACTGAGAGAGGCGATGGAGAAGCATGGGCACAGAAAGCAGGAGAGGAGGAGACAGAGGGGGCTGATGGTATCAGACGCACTGGGTGACTCATCCAAAATCTGTCTGCCTACTGCCTAAGAGGTAATACTCAGGAAGAGAGATAGCTATGCAAGACAGATGAGGAGCGAAAGAGGAAGAGACAAAAAGATCTCGACAGTGAGGGAAAAAAGCAATTGTGAGACTGTGAGGAGGCAAAAAAAAAAAAACAGATCAAAGTCAGCATGAGAAAGCCTGTGAGTGTGATGGATCCTAATTGGACAGTGTCTGCAAAGGCATGCAAATGAGCAAGTCAGTGTATTGTGGGTAAATGGTAAATCAGTGTGTGATGGGGTGGCACTCCTACGCAAGAGGATGATTAATACCACAAAAGCACTCAATCACAAAACTGTAATTTCCCATGAACAGACTTTTCGTCACTCTGCGCTCGCTGAACATCTGAATGATTGGCGGTCAGCTGTAATCCAGCGAAATGGCAAACCACCAGTCACCGGCCGTGGACTTGAATATGCCATTTGTCAGGAAAAGATATGCTTGCAGTGGATGCAATGCTATAATTTATGGTTCTAATCAAAGATTGAAGGCTCCATCCGCACAGCTCTATTTGAGTCACTTTTCATTCCTTCCTGCTTTCTTTCTTCTGTATGTTTGCTTTTATTACAACCTTTGTGCACAGAACAAAAGAATACTTTGCACACTTCTATTTCCAAAAAGGTGTGTAGGAGAAGGACAAGTAGAACACAGCTTGTAGGAAAAACTCCTGCACACTGTCTAACCTGCAATTTCAAGAACTAGACCATCAAGATCTTTTCATTAAGATGTACATAACTCTGCAATGCACTAGTATGCTGTTTTCAAGTATGAACATAGAAAACAGCATGAAGGCCGGTGAAAATGTTACGTTGGTTTTTTATATCTGTTATATATTCAGACCCTCAAACTCAGTACCAGCTAATTTGGAAAGATGTTCAAGCACTGCTTGGACAGAGATAGACAAAATTTGTGGTGGCGCATCACTGCATTACGCCGGAAAAGGGGCAAAAATTAGCATGTCCACCCAGGTGTCAAGTTTATTGCTGATCGAAGCTGAGGCCGATTTATACCCTTCACTACTGCAGAGTTATTTGTCCAGGGAGTGAAAACTGATTGTAATCTATCCCATTAAAAACAAAAGCCTGATGCTAATGGGTGTTTGTGGGGGTTTTTCCAGTGTGAAAGGGGCTTTAGCTGAAAGGGGAAGTAGGGGTAACTGGGTTGCTCAGTCTGAAGTCCAAAAACATCCCGACCAACACCTCCAGAGCTAAAAAATTAACAACAACATTCACTGTATCTAGTTTAGAAACAGAATTGTAAATATAATAAGTTCTGATTTTTCAAGTATCTACATGACAGTGACTTCCTGAAGTCTTTTTTTGTTGTTATTGTGAGGCTGCCAAATTGCATGATGTCATTCTTGCAGTGCTGGTTGTATATGGATTGAATAAGATATGTGTTTACTAGTAATTAGCTAGATGCACTGGTGGGTGTATCTTCAAACTTTCAAGAGAGTCAGGCTAGCCATTGGGCTAGCTGCCCTGCCTCCAGTTTTTAAGCTAGGCTAGGCTAATCATCACCTGGTTTCTGCTCTTAGGCCTCATTTACACAGCAAGCGATGCTTTCACGTAGCGCTCGTGAAGCAGCGCGACTTGAGCAGCGTGTAGAACGGATGCAGTGTGAATGCTCTAACCTGTTAACACACTTGCTAAAATGAAAATGCGAGTAAACAGCGGCCATTCGCGAGCACTACGCTACGCATTGCTTGCGGTGTAAATGAGGCCATAGGGTTCCCACACCTTCTTAAACATCACATTAAGCAGCACATTTTAGACATGGATCAAGATCAGTAACATACAAACCTAAGAATTTTTAAAATGAGAACCAGTAGGCTTTGCACAAGCTCAAAGAAAACAATTTTAAAAAATAGATTTTTGCTTTTAATGTTCAGTAAAAAAAATCAAAAGAGTAATTTCTATTCTTGCACAAAATGTATAATTCAAAGCACTTTCACAGACCCATATCTATTTATGTCTATTTTCAAACCCTTGATTTCCCCCTCATCAGAAGAAGAAATTGGCCCATTTCCTAAAATGTCAACTCTTCCTATTGCACACACAACTTTTTTTCAGCATTAATCATCGAACTCCCAGTTTACTGGTTATATTTTTGAACACATCACAAGTCGGTCTTTAACACAGTATTAGAGAGGAGAGCTCATGTGGTGTGCGCTCTTTCTTGAGTAATACTTCAAAGTTAATGTAGCATAAACGCATGCATGTACCAGCAATGGTCTGTTTGAAATAGGGAGTCATTGCCGGCTTGTATTTTTGGATGTATGTGTGAGCATGGCTGTGAGACAGAGCGAGCGCCTGCATGTATGTGTTTATGAGAGAAGGAGAGACAGCGCAGGGAGAGAGGGAGTTTGTCACTTCGAAAATCAGTGAAGAACAGTCCCAGGCTCTGCCCAGTGAAGCGATTCATGAACCTATCAATTGGCTGTGTGTATGTGCAACTGTGTGCGCACGTGCACACACAAAGGTGCCAATGGGCCTTTATGAGCATAGTTAAGCTGTCCATCTGAGATAGGCTTTCATTATGGAGTAAATGAACCAATCAAACTGATAGCAATCAACTGAAGACCTCAACTCATGGACTGCCAATGGGAAGAGGCAGAGTTCCCCCAGGGGCAAAGAGTAATAATAACGCCCTAACTCATAAGACGACATGCAGTTGGGATGAAACAATTTACTAAATAGCATATGCTAAAATGGCAATGGCATGTGCTGAATATCATAAGAGAAAATGGCTGAGTAAATGTGACGCAGCCGGTCACTTTTATTGCACTACCAGCACTGCAGGAGACAAAACATTCCCCGCCACAAAGTACGAAGATAATGGGCAAAGGAATCAAGATGAAGGAAAATGCATGAAAGCGTAAAAGCAGTGAAGTAAAACAGAAAGGCAGGATAAATGGAGAATAAGCACAAAGACAACATTGCAATGCAGCAGCATTACACAAGGTCTAGCTTTTGTGCACCCTTTTGTCTCCAGTTGCAGCAGAACATTCATCCTTTGAGATATCTGCATTTGCTGTTCCATAAAATCGGGAAAAACAACTTGAACAAAACAACTCACGGGCATCTCATAAACAGGTTCTGCTACATAAAAGCAAGATGGATGGTTAGATTGAAGAGAAGCACAAAATAAGCATTGTGCATAATAAAGAGACAAAGAGACTAAGTGAGGCGAGGTGAGGTGCCCTGAGGTTAGCATACAGGATGTTGTGAACGCCAATCAAAGAGTCTGTGTCATCACAGCGAGTCAGAGGTCACAGACAGCTCTGCTCTCTCGGCCTGCAGCTTCTCTGAACTTTAATTTGGGTAAGGGACGGGGTGCCAGACAGGAAGTCTGCCAGTGTAATTTCCAGTGGGATGTGACCTTTCGCCGCCGTTGGTAGTGGATCACATCTGCCACAATATTTTCTCTTATCTAACAGAAGATACTTTCTTCCCACTCTTTTAAGTCCCTTTGCCTCCCCTGAACAACTTTAGCTTGTATGCTTCCTGGTGTCCTCTTTATCCTCCACTCCACTGTGTGGTGTGTGTTTGGACAATCATTTTGCTTGTTTCTTGGCGTTACTTGAAACCATATGGGAAAAAATTCACGGCAGCTAAGACTAACAGCAGTTAGCTTTCTTGTTTTGCTAAAAGCGAAGAGACGTCTTTCAAAACTGTACGAGGACTTGATGCTCTCGAGGGAAAGCGGCACACTTCTTTGCAGATGAAAGACCTGCGTCTTCTTGAGAAGCCCTCCAGGGCGTCTTTACAGTCCAAATCCAAATCCTCAGCATTACCCTTCAACGTCCTTGAGAAGCCTTCTGTCTGCTTCCATGAGACAAATCTGAGTGAGTGAATTCACACTGCGATAACTTCTTGGTCTGACCTTGGCTGAAGAGAGGGTTGAGTGGGGTGATAACGGGTTCTCATACTGCTTGTGTAACATTCAAGACTGACAGTAAGGATGACAGCTACAACAGATCCGAATTATGGCTATGAGCTTAGTGCCTCAACTTGAGACAGACTTCTGGAACGGCTGATTGCTCTAAAAATAAAAAGCTCCTTTTGATACTAATGGTGAGATTTGTTCGTTGGGCCTTGATTCTTTCATCCAGATGACTGTTTTTATAAGAACCATTGAAGCAAGCACCGAGGCTGGGTCAAATCCTGGCAGTGTGCACCACAGGAGGGCATTCAGCCTGCCCAAGCACAAAACAAATGTGTTAAACCACCTGTTTAAGCCCTTTTCTGACGGCCTCGGTTCTTGGACACTGGTATACGTGCTTACAAGTGGAGCTGATAACTGTTTCAGTCTGAGTGGTACAGATTAGTACCAAAAGAAAAACACAAAACAGTGACCAAACCCTGGAGAGTGGATATCCATCTTAGTTGTTCTACCTTCAGCTGGGATGGTGAAGACCTCTTTGGGGATGTAGAGCTTGTCCTCTGCTGTTCTGGCCCAGTCCTTCATCCCTCTCCGGCCTTTCATGGGAAAGTTGATATCACTGGAAACGGCCGACACCGGCTCTCGCTGGACGGTTATCACTGGACAAACAAGAGATACCACAAACACTCACTTCAGGGCAAAACTGAAACAAAGGAGACTGGTCAAATATGAGGTGAGCAAAAAAAAAAAACCAGATGAGATCAGATGTGATAAGCTTTGGGATATGGGTAAGAAGTGCCTGTCAAACCTACTATTAGGGTGAGAAGGCCACTATCAGGCCAGGAAATTAAACTTTGTGCAGGAAAGGGCTTAATTGGACTGTTTTCCATCTGAGAGAAAGTCCATATATAGGGCCGGTGGACAGGTAGGAGTGGTGGATGGCACCTTCACCTAGGACACTGGGGTTCAAGTCCCAAGCACAACCAATACTTGAACCCAACCATGATCTTTTTTCTAAACCTAACCACATTGGTTTGGCGCCTCAGCTTAAGGAAAATAGAAGGGAAACCCAACGATCTGCTAACGGCCATTGAATGGGCTGATAATTACCTTCTGAACTTACCAGTATGTGTAGCAGGCCCTTACTGACCCATATCTATATGGTGTACAACCACACATAATGGCCATTTATTGGGCTGATAACATCCCGATTGGGTACCTGAGTCACGTTAGCGTTAAAAGTCGTACAACAGGTATTTTAAGAGACAAAGAACTTTTGGAAGTGAGACTCAATGAAATGAAAAGCTGAAAATAGATCATTTGGAAGTGGTTTTGATATGACAACAAAGACCTTGGCTGAGCTTAACTGAAGATAAAGAATGGTAAAATTTGACACCATAATACAGACCTAAATTTATAAAAACTCTAAGTACGTGAATGCCTTTTAACACTAACATTAGAGTGAAATTATCTCCTATGTGTCTCTGTTGTGGGACAGCGCTGTGTGATACTTACTGAGGTTGTTGGTAACCACCAGGAAACTCTGGAAAGGCTTCTGGGCTTCTCCGATGAGGTGAATGAAATCTTCTAATATCCTCATCAGTAAAGCAGCACCGGGAGCGACCTGTGGATGCAGGCATGAAAAAGAGGGGTGAGCATCAATCATCATGTCAACATATTTATTATCCATGGCAAACTCTCTATGAGGCATATCTCACCCATTGAGACATTTTTTATTCATTGCATTATCTAGACCACTGAATGTGTTCCAGGGCGGTAAATTGTAGCCACGTGGGATATACTATCATATTTGGTTGCTTGTTTATTGTGTCCAGATGGAGAGTAAACACACCTCGACTCAAGGGCATCAAGATGGGTCACACACAAAAAAAGCACAAATGTGCACACACACACACACACACACACCTAGTATAATTAATGGGCAGCCATTGCATTTAGCAAACAGGTGTGTTTTTATGACTGTAATGAAAAGTTAATGTGGGATGTGGTCACACCCACCTTTACACACAAATTCACAAATGTACACGCAATAAAGTACTGAACCACACACACACACATTTAGGAAACTTGGCACAAAGGTGGCCACTGGTTATGGTATGTTTACACGCACACATACAGAAAGCTTTACCTGATGGGCGTCCTCCCATTTTTCTAGATTTTCCATGTCCAACATGAGGCTGACTATCTGGAAAAATTTCTAGACACAAGATGTTCCCAGTCGTTAATGCAGCAGAGGACTTAAATTCTGTCATCTCATTTGTATGTCTTTGCATGCACACTAGTTTGTTAGCCATTGTCCCCTTGTGTTGCTAACCTGCACCCACCAACCACTGGTACTGCAGCAGTACCGCAGTTTATTCTCTGTCAAGTCGACTACAGTCGTCCTTTGTACAGAGGCATATTGTAAAACATAAAATAATGTCTGTCAAATGACTGACTGAGACAGCAGCATTTTGCTCACTTACAGGCAGTGAAAAGAGAAAAACGCTGCTAAAAAATCCTGTTTGAGGCCACGGCAACTGTGTAGCTGTGCTTCATTGTTATGCAGATCCCGTGCAGCAGATAGTGGAGCTTCTACATCGAATAAATTCAGAGGTGTTGCAAATGTGTCTGTGTGTGCTGACTTGAGGGGGGCTTCATGAGAAGGCTCTCCCTACCTGCACGTCGTCGGGAGCTGGGATGTAGGTTGCTCTTTTGAAGGTGTCCGTCACATTTCGCAGGATCTCCGTGGAAAAGAGAAGGTCGCCACTGTAGTAGCTCCTCCTCTGCAAGAGCTCCAGGAGACTCCTTACGATCTGAGACATGCCCTCCCCGGCCAGGGTCCTCTGACCCTTCGCGAGATGCTCTCGTAACTACAACAGAAAAACAGAATCAGAAATTGAGAAAATAGGTGGTTTCACCTCTGCCTGTAACAGTCGAGTTGATTAAATGCACGCCCGTTGGCACTTACTGTATATAGTACACATGTTCTTATTCAAAATATGGAACTGCTAAAAATGTCAGAAAGACCAAACAAATCAAAGATCATGTTTTTCCCCCCTAAGATATCACAGTGATGTTTGGGATGTGAGCCGAGGGGGATGATTCAAGACAGGAGTATATATGTACATGTTTGGATTTTTGGGCTTGTGCTTAAAATAGGTGAGCAAAAAGAGGCCTAGCAGCTCTTAGGCAGGAATTGGATCTCATCACTTCAGAGACAGAGATACAGAAAGTAAGACTGTGTGTGTGTGTGTGTGTGTGTGTGTGTGTGTGTGTGTGTGCGTGTGTGCGTGTGTGTGAATGTGAAATGCAGAGAGGGAGAGAAAGAGAGAGAGCCTGGAAGAACAGAAGATAACAGCAATCACAGAAAATTAATTATTGACCCCTAGTGTTAATGAAAGGTTGGAACAGAAGCTAACAGTGCAATCAGCTCTGTCACGTACAATCCCTGACCTCCATCTCCTTCCGCCATCATCGAGGAGATGAGAGAGGTTGAAGTTCACAGAGCAGGAAAACAGCCCGGCTGATGAACGCATTCATTAGCCATGTTCATTAATTGATAAGTGTGTGCGCAGAGCTCTGGAAAAGCTAATTAGAGATACCGGCAAGCCTTGAGTAAAGACACTCTGCTATTTTGAGTAAACTTTTTAAAAAAACAGAGTTAAACAGAGGTACACGGTGGGTAAAAAAGGGTCAACTGAGGCAGAATATAACTTGTGAAAACAGAAAGAGCTTTCAATTTCTCATAAATGAGCAAATGAGACAGACAGAACTGAAGATGAGCTGTGATACTGCAACTAACTGGAAGAATATATGCATTGTTCTTCTTCTTGCTGAAGAGTTTCTGCTGTTTTTTTCGAAAGGGAACTTACAGATAAATGTAAATATCTATAGTCAAGTGAGACGCATCTGGCGAAGCTCGGAGGACCCCAGAAAGCAACTCCATTATTGTCCAGCATGCAACGACGACTAGCAGATCCTGGAGAGAGAGACAGAGAGACAAATATATTAAACGGAATTTATCAAATTTAGGAATGAAACCTTTGCAGGAACACATCATAATACATTACTGTTAATATGGTGTCCAATAGTCATTGACCGTGAATGGGGGAGCCTTGTATTCACGGTCAGTGAGCCTGCTGCTGTGCCTAACTACGATATGCATGATGCAGAAATGAAGAGAGATCTTTTACTTAATATACAAATTTATATTACTCCCAAAAATACAGAAATACCTTGCATGAATTCTAAAACCTGGAGGTACTTTCTGTTTATCACAACACTAAGGTCAGGGGTAACACACAGGGAGTCTGCTCGATGAACTGTAACAGAGTGAAGCCACTGCACATTTACAATACTGCCACTTACGAAACAATAAAAACAAAAGGTCACTTTTGTGAAACTGCCTTTTTCCGAGTAAAATGTTATTTAGGATAGTTACAACTACCAAATGTTTCATTTGTAACAGCTTTGGCACCTCACACCAGCTGGCTGTTCTAACATGGCAGCCAGCAGATACTGGTGAAGGCTGCCAAAATACTTTACTAAGACAAAACCTTTTCCCTCGCCAAATAAATATGCACTCACTGAGCTGTGGCGCCGCCTTTTTATGAGTAATGGAGTGACATAAATAAACTGTAAAGTTTCACGGTTAATTAAATTTAGTACAACAATTTACCTTAAATGTAATGTTCTTGAAGTTCTAATGTTTTGCTGGCAGGCTACCTGATTCATGCAGGCGTGTTTTGATGTCGCAGCCAACGCCATAGTTTAAAAGATGTAGAAACACATTTATATTACAGGCAGTCTGAACCACATCTGCTCTTGGCTGAAATTCTGAAGAAGAAAGAGTGTGAAAGAAATCAAGGGTTGTTCTTGTTTCTGCTTCTGGGAGTTAAAGGAAAGGTCTGGCAGCAGCTGTTTGAGCATCTCCTCAGTTTAGATTCACATTACAGTGATAATAAGGTTTGACTATATTCAAGCAGGATATTTCTGTTACTAATTAAGGGTAGATGCTGGATAGTGTAAGAGTTGGAAATGTTATAATGATCACCTCTGTATACAAAATAGTGTTACTATTCAAACAAAGCAGTTTTGATGAGCCTTAGACATGAATTTCAGCATTTAAATCCTTTAACAAAGTACCTGTTGGTTCCAGACATAGGAGCGCATCTCATTTTAAAACACTGGCGGTAGAGTACTTTAGGTAGGGTGACCAGGTCCCAATAAACCAAATGTGGGACAAGGAGTAGGTTTGTGAGGGACAATGTGGGACACCTGCCCCCAGCGCAAAGTTTAGTCATCAGAGACTACATTCATCATGAACTATACAGAGTCTACTGTATATTAACAGTGGATTGTTTTAATTATTGAAGTATTTAGCAACACAGAGACCTGTGTAGTTGAGGGGACAGGTCAAACTGATATGATGCTGATTTACAGGAGAATAAACCATGAACATAAACTACAGATCACCTGTACAGCATTTTAATAAATGAATCTATCATAACTGAAACAACTGGAGACGGAAAACAAACTGATATATGGGTCTGATCACTCTTTTGTGGGACATCTGGTCACCCTAACTTTAGGATATCCTCATCATAATGTTATTTAATTTACAATGTTTTCTTTCATATTAATGAGATGTTTGCTTTGCTGTCGTTGAAATGTACTTCTTGGTAAAATACTAATATTTAAAACAAAAGACAACTTACTACCAAGAAATATTCAAAGATTATTCCGTCAAAGACATGGTGGGTATCACTTGAGGGGGAAATTAAAGTTCAAAACGACAAGAAAACGTTTTTGTATTTCTATTTCTGGAGTGAAACTATGGAACTGTTTGAATGTGAAGCTCAAGAGATGATTTTCACAAGGTACAAGAATGAAGAAGGTGTTTGACTCTCAGCAGGTGTTTACTCTTTATTTATTACCATCAGTTTTGTGTATGTATGTGTGAGCATGTATATATACATACGTAGCTTGTGTATATGTTCATAGTCTGACAAAGCAAAACACATCTGTCATGATTGGATGAGGATATAAAGATGAGATTATTTTTTTGAATAAGATATATATATTTTGTAATTATTTTATATCTTGATATAAGACAAATATCATTGGTAACTGATGTAATATATTAGAATATGTCGAGAAGAATTCATTATTGTTCAGCTTTATACTAATGGGAAGCTACATAATTAACTTTTATTCATTTATGGAGAAGGGGTGGGAATAAATAAGTTTGTCCTTCCTTTCATTCCTTTTTGGACATTATATGTTGTTTTGTTTTTATGTCTGTCTACTACGGTATGATTATTCTGTTTTGCTATTTACATGTTCGAATTAAACTGCTACAAACTATCTAAAAATCAGTTCTTTGGGCTAACAAATCTCCATTTGTCCTGTTGAACAATTTTAATGCATGTTGGACATTTTTAAAATTTTCTTCTTGTGGATTTCTTTGATTACATATGAGTTTCTGTAGGTTCTGTTTTTGTCTTTCTCTTCAGCTAGCTGTCTTCATCTTTACACCTGGCTGCTAATGTACCTTCACGGGGCTAACAAACTTCTGTTGCTCCTTCTGGACCCTGTTTTCCTGTTGAACATTTTCTATTTTTTCATCGTCTGTTGATCAAGTGTGAGTTTCTGTGGTTGCTTTCTTTCTCTTACTGTAGCTAGCTCTACTAATGCTAACTACCAGGTGCTAACGTACATTTATGGGGCCAACAAATGTCTGTTGCTCCTGTTTGACATGTTCTAATGCTAGCTTATGACCGGTTGGTTTGTTTTATGAACTAGCTACAGTTTGAGTCTCTGTTGCATTGTGCAATGTCACCATTGATTTATAGGCGTACTAAAAACTCCAGGCCGAGCAGAATCACAAATTCACACAAGCTGTCTCCGAAATATGTTTCCAGCAAAGTATATCATGCGACTGACCAGTGGCGTTAGTTGGACACTTGTTGTAGACAGTTTCTCCAGCTGAGGCTCTCTTCCACGCCATAGAGAGGAGGTGTTCGTCTTTACATATCTCATGAGGAGCTGCAGAAGCCGGGCGAGAAATACATAGAAAAAGTAAAATGAAGCACAGTCTAGCAGACGCTGAGAAAAAGAAAAATCACCGCGCACACACTCCCACAGACCCATACATAGCCAGCAAAAAAAAAGGGAGACAGAGAAGCACAAAAAACAAGATTCAAATCAATGTTCTCCTGCAGCAGCTCCCAATCTTATTCCCTTGTACATTGCTCAGTGCTCTCTGTCAGTGTCACTGCCTCAGTACAGTATCTCATTCCCTCTTCATCTTACCCTCCTCTTTATTCATCTGTTTTCCCTCCCTCCCTCCCTCCCTCTCTTTCATAACCCTGATGAAAAAACGGGGGAGAGTGCTCTGTAGATATTCCGAGGGGGCAGACGAGTGTTGGCAGAGGCGATGCAGAGAGATGAAGAGGGACGGAGAGCGAAGAGAGAGGGAGAGAGAGAGAGAGAGAGAGAGAGAGAAAGAGATGCTGAAAGAGAGAAAATATGATATGATGTTCCCCTGAAATGCCAACAGACAAGATCCTCGTCTTGTATAAAAGAGGCTTGGGAGCTACTCAAAACAAAGGGGTCACGGTGGAGGCTGCATTCAGAAGTTTATCATTTGTAGTCTGTCAGCGCTCAATGCGAGCACGTACACATGTGGCATTCAGGCTCGTAAAGAACATACACTTGCATATTGTAACACACACACAGCTTCAGTCGGGAGGCGTGCTTATTAAACCACACTGTTTCCTGCAGCGGCTGACAGTCTGACATTGAACATCACGCCCTCAACCAGGCAGAGAGACACAGAAAGAGTGAAAGCAAGCGAGTGAGATTAGAGCGATGAAAACAATGTTAAAGAGGAGTGATATAAGGAGAAACTCAGGATCTCTCAGGTAAACACAGAGGATAAAAGGACAGCACCACAAGGCACGGACATGCAAAATCAATGAAGAGCTAAAGATGGATGGGAATGTGAATTGACAGGAAGACAGACAATAGACAGATAAAGATGAGAAAAGCGCAGTACTAAAATTGCAATAGAAGCCTTTGGCTGTGGTGCGAACCACTGGGAATCACTTCCATTCTGCCTGACAAATACTGTGCATGTACGGATTGGGCACACACACAGATACACACACTGTCTCCAGCAGGGAGATGCATGCAGAGATGCAGCCACACAGAAAAAAAAATGTCTACAGCAAAAAAGTGTTTATACAGAGTTTCCAAGCATGAATAATATGTACATAAGCATAATGGGGCTCTCCATTTTCTCACTGAGTCACTGACCGGGACATTTCTTCTCTTTACAGGACCGGACCTCCTCTCCTGAGCCATCGCAGGGGTAGCCCTGTATTCCGGTGCCCTCACACATCCTGAAGCGACGCTGCCAACCGGAGTCACATGTCTTGCTGCAGAGGCTCCAGTGGTTCCAGCTGCCCCAGTTACCTCCACCTAGAAGTACCACCGGTGAAAATTGGGGAGCGGGAAGGGTGGGAGGGAACAAGAGCAGCACGTAAGGTGAAAAATAAATGGGAGTTGTTGGTGAATATTAAATCTAGGTTACAGCTCTAAGGCAGCAGTTTGGAAAGTTTTTCAATTTTTTAGGGTGGTACACCAAATTAAGTCAATACGAGCCCATTCTGGGCCCCAGGCTCATTAAAGCACACTAGTATTTTTTGTCCTCCAGGGCCCCCAGTCGAAACTGACTCGCAAGCCAAACTAGGCCCCAACCCACAAATTGCTGGTATGTGGAACAGGAATCAGAGAAACCCACACAGAGATAATGCATGTTTCATGTTTGCATAATGGCATTCGAGAGCATGTGAGTGTGAATACTAAGCATTCATTTGTGCTCCTTACCGCTGCAGGAGGGGTTGGTGCATTCTCTGCTCTCCTGATGGGGACCCTTACACTCAGCCCAGCCGTGCACCGACGCACTGCAGCGCCGCTGCCGCTGCTGGGTTCCCGTATTACAAGTCACGCTGCATCTCGACCACGGGCCCCACTCCAACCACTGGCCCTCCACTGGACAGAGGGGAGGGAAGATGGAGAGACAGGAAAATGGATGAAGATTTTGAGAGACATGGAAAAATCAGGGTGTATTAAAAGACAGGAAAGAGGATGTACGCCACAGAATATAGAACAAGTCAGGACAAATAAATTACAGATGCTATTTGGTTTTCCATAAATAGCAACAAACAAACACACTCCATGGTCCTATGGACATTTTAAATATTTCAATCTGTTATGAAATAGCTGATTACTATTCCTTTCATGCTTTGTTTTAAAGAGTTCACACAGAGTACAGATGGTTAGATTCTCATTCAGAGTGTTATTACAGAGGCACCGCATTTCAACTCTCGACTGCTGTTTGTGCAGAAATAGATTAATAAAAAAACACAATTTCAATAAGTTCCAGTGCTGCCTGTCAGATGATACATGAATACCAAACAGCTTTACCAAAGCCTGATGACATGCACAGGTGTAATCAAAGCCCCCCACTATCCTCTTTAATAAGGGAGTGTTGTTGGGGTAATTGAGTTCTCAAAAAAAAAAAAAAACAACCTTAAATGCACAAAAATCATGATAATCAAAACCAGGGAGATTAATCATTTAAAGTGTGTGCAGACAAAGATTTTTGGTATGTCATCGACTTCAAAGTTGGTTATAGTTGAGACAATTTCGAGGATCTGTGTTCAAGAAAAGACACACAATGTTCTGCTGTGAAAATGCACGACAGCCGCTTAAAAATCTGTGATGAATAAACTGTCAGTGGATTCTTTTAATTTATTTCTACACTGTTTTTGACACATACTTTCGATTAGAACTCTTTGATACAAAACCTTAGCAGAAGAACCAATTACTGACCTGTGACCATTTCCTTTTTTATTTCCGCGAATAAACTGACTTAATATCATGTTGTTACAATTGGTAATTTTTGCTAGTTTCTAACAACTGACAAAACCTTGCAGATCAAAAACTGGGATGAAAATATACAAATTCTGGCCTTTGGCATGTTCGACAACAAAAGTACGCTCATATCCAAAATAGTTAACAAAAGATTTATAATGCATCAGTATCTCTACGGCCTAGCTGCAGTATCAATACAGGTGAATGTCTTGAGGGGATGATATCTAATTTTTCACCTGTAGCTAACATTAAAGAGCTATTTTGAAAATGTTGTTTTTACTGTTATGTTTTCAAACCAATCATGGTTCAGTTTAGGCAGCATTTACAGCAGCATACCGCATTTCACAGTTCTCAAATTCTCAAATGAATTGCTTGTGCTTCCTCTGCTACTCTAATACAAATACACATTCCTGGAGGTCATAATTTGAGCTGAGTAACAACACAATGCTCCTTCTGTTGGCTGCAGCATCATTTAATGTTGAAATGAAAAATTCAACTCATGTGTTGCCACCAGCAACACATTCTCACTCTGACCTTGTCAAATACTGACATTTGGTCATGGACTTTTCACATCCACATATGACGTGCGAGGTACCCTGGGGGCGTTGGTGGTTGATGCTCTGGCACGCGTTGTCAAGTTCTGCCTGTTACATACATTGTCATCTTTCGAAATACACTTCTGTTTTCACGGGATATCTAACATTTACATAGTCTCAAACTAACAAACTACGTCGGTACAACTCCACAAATTGACGTTTTTTTGTCCTTCAACAACAAAAACACGTGGTTAGGTTTAGGAACAAAGAACAGGGTTCGGCTTTAGAATCTTACGGGACACAAACACCACTCTCTCAGGTGAAAGTCCTGTTTGTTGGATCCATCCCCCATCCCTCCCGTCCGTCCTAGTCGCACTTTCGCCGCCTTAACGTTGGGCCTTGTCCCGCCCCGTTTCCCCCTGATGCTGCCAGGTTCCGTTAAACTATGAAAGCAACCTCTTTTCGTTGGCTTCTGATGCCGCAAGTCACTGCCCAAGCGCCAGATTTCAACGATTTCTAAGTGACACCGGGCTCCTGCAAGTTGTTTTACTGATGTTGGCTTGAGCTATGCTTTGATTTGTTATCTTTTTCAGCAGAATGGTAACAATACCTAACAACAGACTCTCTATAAAAATGTAATAAAATTTTCTGAGCATCCTTTTGTAAACCTTGTAAATATAATATTGCTAACATGTTTGCAAGCGCTGGCCTCTTCACACATCCAGAAAACTCAAAGCTACATAAATTTGTGGTCGCATTTCTTGACCATTTTCAACCAGCTTTGTATCATAACAATGTAGACAGTAGGTGTGTATGAACTTTGGTAAACTACCTGGTCCTCTCCCAGCTCACATCTGCCAGATGATGCGTTTTACGTCATCCATTTTGTGCCATTCAGCCAATTTTCACTGGCTCTTGGGCCAATGCTCCAACTACAGATTATACGCTCAGACTGTGTTACTGTATTGTCATTCTCGGAACCCATCGGCTGTATTCGGCGTCTGACTTCCGGCAGACGGCGAATACAGCCTCTGGGGGCAGACCCCCAATTTTTTGGCATTCCGGTTTGATTTGGGTGGAGGAGGCGAATTTCTGTTTCCAACTTCTGTTTATATATAAGTAAATATGCTGAACCATTGCAATGGATTCAGAGTTTGCAGTGACGCCAATTATGTTGCGCCTCGTTAGTTCACGGCACGGACCGTGTAACCTGGCAACAACTGCAGCCGGCTCAAACGTGATTGGTCAATATCACACGGACTACATACAGCCTACAACCGGAAAGCAGGGCTCTTCCGCTCTTCTTCCGGAGGCAAGATCTCCAGGGTTTGCCTGCAGACTCTACATTCACTGAATGTAGAGTCTGTATATAGAGACTACTATATTGTCTGTTCCTCACCTACAATGTTTTCAGAACGTTATTAGTACATTCTGGTGGCTGAAGGTTTTCTACCACTTGAGCAAACTCTTTCCTCTTTTCTCAGTTTTTTTCGGTCATGTAGCATCAAAGTAAATGTGTCCTCTACTGCAGACAGCCTAGTTTTATGAAAAGACCGTCCTTCCAGCAGAGAAATACTTCTTTAGCGCTCTACTGTGTCACTAGCTAGTCGCTACTCTGACTGTAAAACCTTGACAGAGCTGAGGAGGGCAGAGTTGGGTGGCAATTCTGTGTGACTTTTCCACTTAAATTAACACCTCTCACATTACACATAGACTTAATCATTTTGCAACTAATAGAATTCAAAGTTTGATTATTATTTAATCCATTTAATGTAACCTTTAGTCAAGACAAGCTGATGTAGAGGCCATATTTCCATGTCTACTGACAAAGCTATGCTAAAAAGAAATATACGCTCTTATAGTTACAGCTAAGTATTTCTGAATATGTGTAGAATTAATTCAGTTAGGGCAAGGTTAACACTTTATCATATACATTTTAACAGGCTAAAAGAGAACAATGCTGCATAGCTATTGTGTATGTGCTGTAGGATTGTACAGTAGCCTGTCGATTTGTCTCTGTATTAACAAGAATAGCAATTCAAAGTGAGAACTGCTCTTGTTTCGGCTCAGAGTGATATATAGAGGCACACACTGTACACACAGGGACTTTAAGTAGCAGACAAAGTGAAGTACAGTGCAGTAAATGTATTTGTCTGGTTCTCCCAAGTGGGAAAGCATTGCCAGCTCTCCTTGGTAATGTGGTCAATCACGCTGTGTGTGTGTGTGTGTGTGTGGCTCGCACAGTGTTCCAACTAGCTGGGGCCAGCACTGTGTTGGGGGGGATGACACAAACAGAATGTGCTGTGAGCTAGAATTTAAGTGTAAACGTGACATTTCCCGAGCCTAATTCTGAGTAATTAAAGTGACAAGTCCGGAATGGCTTCCAAAAGAAGAACAAACCATCTCCTCATCTTTATATCAGTGTGAAAACACTTGCTCCACAAATATGGGAACACACACAGTTGCACAAAATAGAGTAAAAAATAGAGTTGGTCGTAGAAAGCTGTTTGTAACGCAGAAAAAGAGGCAAAATAATGCTTTTATGGCAAAATTACAACAGTTTCTTCAGCAGGAAGTACTGAATATCAGAAGCATTCAAGACAAGATAGACATGCAGTGTAAGCAGAGACATTTTCCAGCAGGAAAAAACAGCATATAGAAACGTAGCAGGCATTGTAGCGTGGCATCTCTCCGTCGTAGGAAGCCGTTTTCTTGCCAAAGACACAAACTATTAATTGGCCTGTAATTAAGACATTGCCATTAATCCCAGCATATGCTCAGCTATGAACTGACTGTTTATGTTGTGAGAAAAAAAGGTAGGCATAAAGGCAATGCCTAGCCAGCTCTCTGCATACACAGGAGTGCATTTTAGTTCTTGACGATAGCTTTAAAAGGTCTGATACGATCAATTAATTATTCATGTATGACATTTCTGCTTTCTTTTACTCTTAGCCTGTTGATAGTCTTTATTTGATGCAACAGCTGTCATATTAACATTTGCAGCTCTGCCCGCATATGCGTGCATTTGTTTGATGTGACGACGTGTGTCTACATGAGAGATGAGCCACTGTGAAGAGAGATAAGGGATTATGTTGAAGGAATCAGATCTGATTTAACTCTACACAGGTTTAACACAGTGTTGTATAGACATATGGCACAGTATATGGTCTTGAGTAAAGGGAGGGAGACCAAATCACTGACACACACACACACACACACACACACACACACACACAAGATCCATCAAAGCTCTATTCTCTATGCATGGACGTTTGTGCCAAAAGGCCTGTGCTGGTATTCATCATTTCAAAGGACCCTTGCCTTTGAACTCCCGAAAGCACGCTGAGTCTGTTGTGATAGATTCACACACTCATACACAAACACATAAACCATATGAGGACACACATACACAGATTTCCTTGAGGCCCTTGAAGGAAGAGCCTTTCTCCCAAACCCTGTTTTTTCATCACTGTTCCCAAAACAGCATGGCAAAACATCCCGGAGGCCATACTTTAGATTACGACGTCTCCCTATTCCTCCCTTTGAGACATAACTTTGCTGCCGCTTTGTCTGGCAATGGGGACAGTTTTGTTTTATTTAAATATTAACCTTATAAAACCCCTGCTTTGAAAAACATAAAAGCCAAAAAAATAAAAATAAAATAAAATACAAAATAAAAGTATATTAGTCTGCAGGGAGTGTGGGAACACAAAAAAGCTCCAGCCCGGACGGGCTCCGGCAGCATTCACATAAATATAAGTATATATTATTTTCTAGAGGGAAATAATGCAGGATTCTTTACCTTTGCAAAAATAAATAAAAAGCACTTACCCTGTGATAATTGCTCAGGCTGTGAGTGATTACACACTACACAAGCACACGCGCTCTCACTTGGACTGAAATCAATTCAGGGTATAAAGAAAATAGTTATTATTCAGAAAGCAGTCACCAGTTTTGCAATAAACCGTCTTATGTTTTAGTGTCTGTGCGCCCATTAATGCCATTATTCCAATGTTGTTTAGAAACCATTTACATTCTGGCACACAGAAAGCACCGACTGAAATTAAATCACTGAAATTAATATTCCCTTCTAATGTCAACGCTTTCAAAGTAAGTGGTTTTCTAAAGGGACACTTGAAATACAAAATTAAAATTGCACAGAGGCAATGAATATGCCGCAAGTATAGTTGAAGTCTTAAAAATGCCAAGGGCTTTTCTTTGTGCAAGATTTGAACTGTGCCCTATCTAATAGGTAGATGTTGGTATTTACATCTAGAAAGCTGCTCTGTGATTGGCTGCGGTGGTTGTTGTTGAAAACCTGCCCTTCTGTTTCTTTAGTCTGCTCTATTGAGACGTTATTTCAATCGCTGTGCCGCCCCTTTCCACTCCAATGCAGCCTGATAAAGATGTTTCAGCTGGACAGTCTGAGACAGATTGGAATAAAGTCCTGAGGTCCCCATCTACACCAGAATTAGATGGGGCTGCACCAGCGACTTATTGCTGTTCTTGACAAGGTATAGGCCTAACAGGTAATCTCAGAGACAATAGCCGAGGAGCTCCACTGCCGGACAGCTCAGCAATCTAAACTAAGCCAACCATGGAGGAAACAGAGAAGTCCAACCTAAAGGCTTTGCTAGGCTACAACCCCTGTGGATGGCTGAGTGAGAGTTGAAAATGGGCAAGACTCCCATGGCTACCCACAGATGAATATGGAAGTGAGAACTCTGGTGAGGATACAGGAGTTAAAGCAGCGACCATTCACAGACAGGGAAGATGACATTATGCTGCATTCATGTTGTGTCAGCAGATCGGGATGGTTTAAAGTTCCCAATATTCCAAAGTGGAAGTGTTAATGCATTATTCCAAATTGGTCACTCTCATTGCTAACCTTGTCACATTATAAACATTTGAAAAGTCTAAATTAACTATTTGACAGAAGCTATGATAAAAAACTTTTTGTCAGTGACCTTTTTTTCTATGATGAAAACGAGACTATGACGAGCTAAAAATAGATCCTGACAATAAAAACTGTTTCATTTTTGTTGACGAAATGTGACAAAAATGTTAGACACTGAATACCGAGAACAGCAGGCTGGCAAACAAAGTAAATAGTTGGTGCCAGGATGTGTCACTAGCTGCTGAATGGCAGCAGAGCAAGCAGCCACCTGCCGCTGGAAATCACAGCTGATCCCTGCAGGACTCCACTCAGTCCAGACTCGAGTAGGTTTATGGGTTGATGCTTTTGACAGGCAGGTAGAAGGCTCAGTTATCTGTGAGTGTAGCTGTGCTAACAGCTGAAAGTTTAGTTTTATTCACCAACTACAGTACAGGCCAAAAGTTTGGACACACCTTCTCATTCAATGCGTTTTCTTTATTTTCATGACTATTTACATTGTAGATTCTCACTGAAGGCATCAAAACTATGAATGAACACATGTGGAGTTATGTACTTAACAAAAAAAGGTGAAATGACTGAAAACATGTTTTATATTCTAGTTTCTTCAAAATAGCCACCCTTTGCTCTGATTACTGCTTTGCACACTCTTGGCATTCTCTCGATGAGCTTCAAGAGGTAGTCACCTGAAATGGTTTCCACTTCACAGGTGTGCCTTATCAGGGTTAATTAGTGGAATTTCTTGCTTTATCAATGGGGTTGGGACCATCAGTTGTGTTGTGCAGAAGTCAGGTTAATACACAGCCGACAGCCCTATTGGACAACTGTTAAAATTCATATTATGGCAAGAACCAATCAGCTAACTAAAGAAAAACGAGTGGCCATCATTACTTTAAGAAATTAAGGTCAGTCAGTCCGGAAAATTGCAAAAACTTTAAATGTGTCCCCAAGTGGAGTCGCAAAAACCATCAAGCGCTACAACGAAACTGGCACACATGAGGACCGACCCAGGAAAGGAAGACCAAGAGTCACCTCTGCTTCTGAGGATAAGTTCATCCTAGTCACCAGCCTCAGAAATCGCAAGTTAACAGCAGCTCAGATCAGAGACCAGATGAATGCCACACAGAGTTCTAGCAGCAGACCCATCTCTAGAACAACTGTTAAGAGGAGACTGCGCGAATCAGGCCTTCATGGTCAAATAGCTGCTAGGAAACCACTGCTAAGGAGAGGCAACAAGCAGAAGAGATTTGTTTGGGCCAAGAAACACAAGGAATGGACATTAGACCAGTGGAAATCTGTGCTTTGGTCTGATGAGTCCAAATTTGAGATCTTTGGTTCCAACCGCCGTGTCTTTGTGAGACGCAGAAAAGGTGAACGGATGGATTCCACATGCCTGGTTCCCACTGTGAAGCATGGAGGAGGAGGTGTGATGGTGTGGGGGTGTTTTGCTGTTGACACTGTTGGGGATTTATTCAAAATTGAAGGCACACTGAACCAGCATGGCTACCACAGCATCCTGCAGCGACATGCCATCCCATCCGGTTTGCGTTTAGTTGGACGATCATTTATTTTTCAACAGGACAATGACCCCAAACACACCTCCAGGCTGTGTAAGGGCTATTTGACCAAGAAGGAGAGTGATGGAGTGCTGCGGCAGATGACCTGGCCTCCACAGTCACCGGACCTGAACCCAATCGAGATGGTTTGGGGTGAGCTGGACCGCAGAGTGAAGGCAAAGGGGCCAACAAGTGCTAAACACCTCTGGGAACTCCTTCAAGACTGTTGGAAAACCATTTCATGTGACTACCTCTTGAAGCTCATGGAGAGAATGCCAAGAGTGTGCAAAGCAGTAATCAGAGCAAAGGGTGGCTATTTTGAAGAAACTAGAATATAAAACATGTTTTCAGTTATTTCACCTTTTTTTGTTAAGTACATAACTCCACATGTGTTCATTCATAGTTTTGATGCCTTTAGTGAGAATCTACAATGTAAATAGTCATGAAAATAAAGAAAACTCATTGAATGAGAAGGTGTGTCCAAACTTTTGGCCTGTACTGTATGTGAGACATGAGTTTAAACTCAAGACTATCATGTTGCAGATTGAGAAAGAATTCAGGCTTTAATTAAATTATTTATCTGCTTCTTTACAGTGAGATCAATAAATCAGAGTTTACAATGAATCTGACTACAAATCCTAGTTGTCTCAGATTACTTATTTGTGGTGTCAAAGTTTTTGAGACCATAGAGATGTTGAGCTCTTCAAATGATTATCAGTAATTGTGAGCTCGTATATCAGCCCCTAAAGCTGTCAGTGTTGGAGGAATGCAAGGTTGTAAGTGTGTGGAAATTATTTGTAGTTGTAGAAAAAAATGTCTAAATTAAATTTTTATACAACCTGTCCAGAGTCTAATTTCTGACAGATCAATTAGCCTAACTTAATTAGTTTAAAGGTAAAACATATTGACCAAAAGTTGACTAAAATGTCATGAATTTTCGTTGACTAAAGCTAGACTAAAACTATGAAGGATGAAAATGACTAAAATGTAACTAAAGCTAATAAGCATTTCTGTCTCAAAGACTAAGACTAAATCTAAAATTATTGTAAAAATTAGCACTGCTCACAATGACAATCATTACCATTTTTACTATCTTAGTTTAGCACACTGCATGCTAACCCTTGTAAATCGGAAGTTGATAGTAATGTCTTTTGTTTTTCAGGTATTTGATCATAAATCAAAGTCGACAGTGCTGGACAAATTACAGTTTTAACCTTGTGATGGGATTTGGATAACCACAGTTATCCCATTCATCCTGAGGGGACACCAATATTTGTACCAAACTTTATCGTAATTCATCCAATATTCGTTGAAATAACTTCAATGTGAGCCCATCCACAGTAAATCGTAATGCTGAGAGCAACTGAAGAAGCATAATGAGTAAGGAAGTCTGCATAGGGCTGGAGGGAGGGGAGGACGATTGGGTCAAACACACCGGACTTTTACCCAGGAGACCAAAGTTCGAATTTATGTAAAGTAGTTGTGCACTGGCATAAAAAAATTTACTTATTTTAACCCAAAACACGATCTTTATTCTAAACCTAACTAAGAATTTTTGTACAGGTTGCCCTGAGCATTGCAAAGAGACACAGAGGGGCGAGACTAAGCGTTTGTATTTGATGACCTATGAATGAGAGCAGGTTGGTCTGCATGATGTGACATGAATGCAGCATTAGTCCACATTTTAGCAGAGGAGAGCAAGACACTTACAAGAGCTATAATGGAAGAACACACAATGTAAATGCATATGACTGTAAACTCTAGAGCCGTCACAGTAACCCAGTTGTTTTTGATCTTTGTGATTTCGGAGAAAAAGAAGAACAAGTCATGCATGAATAGGCAGAGAGGCAAAGAAAGAAAGACTGGGTGTATCATGTAAATGGGGATGGTACTAACCAGGACACACTGCTATGTTGCAGAGTTTGGTCTGAATCTCGGGCCGTCCACAAGCCAAGGCCCCGCCTCCGTTCACACACTTCCTGGTTCGTGTCCTGGAGCCCCGCCCACAGGTCACAGAGCACAGACTCCATGACGACCACTCCTCCCACAGCCCATGCACTGCAAACACCCACAAACACGACATGGGGATGAGGCATGAGGGAGAGAGGGAGGGGTTGGAGCATCCCATTGCAGGCAAGAGGGTTAGAGAATGAGAGAAACACGAGAAATCAAATGAGTCTGAGCACATTCCTTAAAAAAACATGAAGGAGGTGACCTTCTGACCTCCGCAAAAACATTCCACTTTCAATGGAAAAGAAACACTGAGAATGAAGCTTCACTTACATGTTGCTAAATGAAAGAAAATGGAGGTTAGGAATGGACAATCTGGCATTTGAAGTCATGCAGCTCGAGCCGTGACAAGGAATGAATGTGGTAAGTTGGCTTCAGAAAGTATCAGGGCATTCAGTTACTATATAGAGCGAACCAAAGGATCCAAAGAATCCGATGACTTCAAACACTTCAAACACCAATTAAAGTATTAAAAATGTTTCTGATCTTTTTTCCTTCTCCCTTCCTCTTTTTTCCTCTTTATTGCACATCTCACCCCATTTTAGCAACAGATGACGATGAAATACATCAAAATAGAATAAATGAGCAGCGGAGTTGCACAAAAACTTTGCAGATAATGAATGTGACTTCATGACTGTTGCTGTTTTACCGAACGCTAGGTCAATGCCTACATAACCTGTGTTTCAGATGGGTGACACTGGCACTGATGCATGCACAAAAATAACTGCTAGTAGAGATTAGAGGTAATAACAATAGAACGACAGACATTAGAAGAAAAAAGAAGTGTTGAACAGGAGACTCTAAAATAGAAAAAGATGAGTGACAGGATTTGTTAATGAGTGTCAAGAGGGGAGAGAAAAAAACACATGAACATGACAAAGAGAGAAGATTATAAGTGAATCTGAAAGAATACAAAAGAGATTTGGGGCTGAAAAAGTTTGAAAGGCCAAGAAAAGAAGAAGGTTACTTAAAAAAAATACAGAAACGCTCAGCCAGAGACAAGTCGAAAGCAAGATATAGAGATGGTGAGGGACAGAGCAAGAGAAAGTTAGAGACAGCAGGATGGAGATTGCTGGTCCTGTGTTGAGCAAAGCTAAATAAATCATGGCGATAAATAATTAAGTCTACTCTGTGAAGGATGGCTCTGAGGAGCAGGAGTATAGAAGGCTGAGAGAGAGGGGGAGAAGACGGTGGTATTAAAAAGTATGGAGATGTGGGGAGCTGGTAAATAGTGAAATATCCTTAAATACTGCAAAACATGGTATCAGCGTATCTTTAAGCTGCTGAACAAAGTGGATATATGTTGCAGACAGAAAAAAGCATCAGGACTGGATCCAGCAAGAAGTGTTTGCGTCACTTTTTGCTACTGTACTGTTCATTTCAATGACGTTTCTTTTTCAAGCTCAATTGTAAGCCTCGCTGAACTCAGTTAAAAGTTGGCCTAGTTATAACACATGTGTTTACTGTTAGAGACTTCCACACAACTAAATTCAAATGGGGCTCCACATCACTAACACGTTCTTTCATAGTGATTAGTTGTTAAATATTTATGCATACTGTGTGGCAGGAGTAAGTGTTGCTTAGCTAACTGTGCCAACTGACAAAGCTAATGTTAGCTTGCTAATAACTAATATGGTCCACATGTCTGAGAGGGTGCTTGATTACTGTGCTGTTTAACAATGTTTTTTTAATTAATTTTTCCCAAAAAACACAACACACCTCAAGATACAAAAGTTACGGCAATAAATTAAAATTATTCATTCCACCTTGCCATTTTTTTTAAAAGTACAATTGCAGAACTAAGGGGACAGAGTTATTTTGCCTTTAAAGAGATAGCGGAGGTACTAATAGTGCAGTATCAACGTCTGTGCAACAGGGACAGTCAGCAGGACGGGACGACAGACAGTACAGGTGTGACGTTTTGATGACATGTTACATGTGCAACCCATTGCTGGGAGATTTGAAAAACAGCTAGCAGCATTTAGCAGCTAATTCAAAGACGAGGAACAGCAACAAAAACAGTCTACAAATTGGGCAGACAGTGAGGTCCGGGTGCTCCTTACCCTCCGAGCAGACGACAAGATCAACTGTCATATCCTCCTGAGACCTGAACTTCTATTTGGTATGCATTTTTTGACTTGTCCTAGCTATTTGGAATCAGCAGGACCCGATAAGGATAAAAAAAACTAAACGTTGTCAATGATAATTAAGTCCCAATGTCCTCAAACGAGTACTTCATAATTAACAGTGTGTTAGCTTTTAACCATCTATTTCATGGTTCAGAGTGTTGAACAGCCATCGAATTAAAGATTTTTTTGAGCTTTGAAATTGCATTTTCGTACAACCCGCTGGGAAAGTTGTGTCTGTGGAGCAGTAGTTACTGATTTGAAAGGTGGTATTTCAATGCAGCAGGATGTGGAGTGCTGAAGTATGTCAGCTGAAATATTTTGGTAACAAACATGAAACAAGACTTATTTCCAAAATATGCAATTTAATAAATCATGATAATAATAAAATATAACCGGCATCATCAAAGTGCTTGCGGATTTCTTGGGGGTATCTCATCCCAAACTGCAAAACCTTCTCAGGAGACAGAGGCAACTCAAAAAAATAACAAACTAAAAAAAAAAAAAAAAAAAAATACAAGTCAGTCAGAGTTCTGTTATTTAGTTTTTTTTAACACAACACTACAAGATTGCTTGTAAGACATTACTTATTCATCCAAATTGAATCTCCATCTCTCAAACCCAGTACAAGTGTATCTGAAGTCTGACTGTGCAAAGCCAATCAATTAGCCTATAAAATCAAGCTTGGAGCTGCTTTGGGACGAAGACATTAAAAGGAGAAAATATTCATTGCAGATGGGGACAAGGGGAGAATCAGATAATCAAATTAAAGAGGAAAAAACATGATAAAGTCTCCTAGGATACTGGGATTAGGATTGTATTACACTACCTATTGGTGGCCAGGTAAATACTCCCCGTTGAGCAGTATTTCAAGTCATAAATAAAGCAGCACAGGGCAATTCTATCAAATATTGTGTCTATCTTGACACCAGCAAATACATTAACATAATACTGCACGTCTTTTAGTTCAACTGCTCACGTTAAAAGAGAGTTTATTGCCCTCGAGGTTGCAGTCGCAGGGGGAGGTGAATAAGAGCATGTTTACAGCAGCACGAACAGAAGAAATAAATAATAAAATAGCAAACTGATCAGTGCTGATCAAACTGCAAAGTGACAGATCTGTGTTGTCACAAAATCAAGTTCATGAACTCCAGAAATTTATCTCTGTGAGAAACAGATGAAAAATATGTGGTTTAAAAAAAAAATGTGCAAGGAAAAAGGAAGCACATAGACGTCGTACTCACTCCTGCCTGGGTTTCTGATGCAAATGCAAGAAAGCTCAGATGAGAGGAGATAAAATAGCCACGCTCAGCCTCCTTTATTTAAACATATGCGTATACTACACACACATTTAGCAGAGCACACATTCATAGCACCGCAGAGACTAAGGATATGCGTAATGAGGATGCATGACTTCAATACACGTCCGTAAAATATATGCAATTATTAAATATGTGTAATGATGCATGTATATGAAGATATCAACTTTTAATTTCTTATTCCTAGCTTTTGCAAATGAATAGTCTATAATGGGACACATGCATTATATTGATCCTAAGCATTACCATCATTAGCAGCAATTTCATCGGAGGTCATAGCAAAGCGTGCTGCATTATTCAAAACTTTGTATCAGGGTGTGCGTGTGTGAGTTTGTGTGTTCGCCATCTGCGCAAGTCCGCCATGAAATCATGACTACAGAGCCTTGCATGCACCCTCAATGTCTTGCTTGAATGGTTTCTGGAAGTGTGATGTTGCAGCGTTTGACTACGCAGTGACCTGGACATACTGTATTCATAATGCACCATTGTTCTGCTCCATGTTTTAAATGTCACTGAATCTATGGTAAATGAGCAGTAGCTAAATAGAACAGAAGTAGGGGTACTACTTCACTTTGCATGCTTTGGGGCATGAAAGCCTTATACTTCAGCGCATATTTAAAAAAAAAAAAAAAAGTTAATTTGCCGGACCAATTACTGCCTAGTTTGCTTTGTCAAGAGCCAGACTATTACTTAAAATTGATTATCTGTATCACCTTAATTTAGGAGCTTTACCCGTGAAAAAACGAGGAGGAAAAAAAATGTCCATTTTCACTTCATTGGCTTTCTGTCCAAGCTACTTTTCTTTGATGTTCCCTAACTCGTGCAGACACACACACACACACACACACACACACACACATGCACAGAGATGTGCCCAAAGACATATCCACCCACACTCACACTCATAACACACCCATACTTCTTAGTCCTAACTTGTGCACAAACACAAAATAAATGGTAGAAAAGCAGAATAGAAAATTCTGGCAAACCAGAATTAAGTATGCAGACTGCACTCTCCCCACCTCAGGATACTGGAGGAAACTATGAAAGCCTGTGTGTGTTCACTTATGCCTATGTGCCTTGTATATTTGTGATTACGAGCAAATGCGTATGAAACAGAATAGAGGATGTTGGTTAAAAAACATTTCATTTGCAGATTTTTTTGGATAAATCAGAAAGTTGGCACAACTCGCCGTCATGCTCTGAACAGCAGGGTTGAAAGGCACAGCTCATGCTTGCATGCATGAACTGCATCTGCGTATGTATGCTCAATTTTCTCTAAAAACTCAAAGTGGAGTTGTTTAATTTTAGAGTGTTTGATTTTAGAGCCTGTTGGCAACATTTGTCTTGTCTTTTTAGTATTTGAGGTACAAAATTGTGACATTAGTTACTGGATTGAAAGTTCAATTTACTGCAGTCCTGATTTGTGTGTGTGTGTGCTTGTTTTTCTGCCTCTGTGTTATATATGTTTGCTTATGACTCCCCATTGGACCAGAAGGAAGACAAGGCTTGAATCCAGCAGCAAAGAGATCAACAAATCAAACAAGCATGTAGATCTCAATGCCAAATTAAGCCAAAGTAAAAAAAGAAAATTGTTTTGAAA